GGAAGGTAAGGAAAGCACTGCCTTCTCCACAGGATTGTTGTTATGAGCGAATGACGCAGCACGGACACGCCTGACGCAATCCAATGTCTACAGCTGCCGTTCAAAAGCACGGTCCCCATTATTACCACTGTGTCCCCAGATCAGGCGCTCCTCCCAGCAGAGTGCCACCTCTTCTATAAAAACCGATCCCAGGCTGAGCATCCATATGATCTCATCTACATCTTTTTTTTTTTAACCTTTACTCATTTTTGAGAGACAGAGAGACACAGAGCGTGAGCAGGGGAGGGACAGAGAGAGAGGGAGACACAGAATCCGAAGCGGGCTCTGGGCTCCGAGCTGTCGGCACAGAGCCCGACGTGGGGCTAGAACCCGCGAACCTTGAGACCATGACCTGAGCCGCAGTCCAACTCTTAACCAACGGAGCCACCTTGGCGCCCCTAACCTCATCTACATCTAATCGCTCCCTGCTATGATTGTGTCAGGCTGTGTGTCTGGGGTCCGTGCATTGGTGCAGACTCCAACAAGGGCAAAGGTTTGTCTCACGGACCTGCCTACGCCAGCAGTCGTAAGCCAGGTGTCCTCACAGACCACACATCACAGAGTGCTGGGCGGACGAGCCAGGGTGTGTGCAGCACCTCCCGGTGTGACGACTTTCTTTGGCCCCTCGTGCCCACTGTGGGTCTCACACGCTTCCTCCACGGGGTCCGAGGCATTTTATCCGCTTCTCTCTTTGTGAAATGTGCTGCTTCTTTCTTTCTCTACTCCCCAACTAAGGACTTAAAAAGCTAGGTCGTGCCTCTTTTCCTCTGAATTCTGACATAGTTGGCTCTCTGTGTTGGAGTCTTATGATGCCAACCCATTTACTGGCAAATATAGAGCACTGGCATCGGCATTCTGTAGTCCAAGCTGTAAAGAGGTGCTAAAAACCTGGGTATGCATAATTGCTTACGCCAATGAGGGGTGGCCTTGACACTTAAATACGGCCCGTACGCCATCAAAGCTAGTTTTCATTTATGCACAGGGCATTCCGTCCAGCCCATGTTCAGGACGAAGCAACTCGACATTACAGTGACACACTAAAGGTTCTTGCTCATTGCATCGACCTGTGGAGTAACAGGCACATATGTGAGGCAGCCTCTACGTTCAATCCAAAGGAAACGCCTCATCAGTTAAAACAAAATGTCAAAGAAAATGCCACGGAGACTGTCTGACTGTGATCCCCAATAGGCTGGATTATCTTTAAGGAAGATGATGGCTTCAAAGCTTTCCACACAGCTTTACAGATCATGGAAGTATCTGTCCATTGGGTCATTTTTAGTAAAATCAATTATGTCCCTAGAAATACAACTGAAAACAAGATCAATCTTAGAGGAAACTGCAAAACATTCTTTCCGTTAAGCTTCTAAATTGTTGCATTCATATTAAATACATTTTGAAAAATGTCTCATTTTATATTGTTTTAACCCAATAAAACAAAAGGGGGAAGTCAGTGTGACATTGGCAAAAGAACGGACACACAGGTAGGTGGAGGAGAGTAGGAAATGCAGAAATTGAGACCCATGAACCGATCTTTGGCAAAGGAGCAGAAGGCAATACAAATGGAGCAAAGACGGTCTTTCAGCAAACGGCACCAGGCCACGCAGACATGCGCGTGCCAGGACTTCACACCCATCACAAGAATGACTTTGAAATGGATCAAAGACCCAAATGGAAAGTATAAACCTCTAGAAGAAACATAGGAGAAAAAGTAGGGGACCCTTGATTGGGGGGATAACTATTTAAGTCCAACACCAGAGGCATGTTCCATGAAAGAAAGAACCAGTAAGTTGTACTCCATCAAAACTGAAAACTTCTGCTCCATAAAAGACACCATGAAGAGAATGAGAAGAGAAGACGTAGCGTAGGAGGAAATACTTAGGAAGGACATCTCTGATAAAGGACTGTTAGCCAAAATATACAAAGAACTCCTAAGACTCAACAAGAAACATTTTTTTTTTTTAAAGAAGGGCAAAAGCTCGAAACATAAACCTCACCAAAGAAGGTAGACTAATGGCAAAGAAATATATGAAAACATGTCCCACATCATATGTCACCAGGGAAATGCAAATTAAAACAACAAGGAGGTGGGGTGCTTGGATGGCTCCGGCAATTAAGCATCCGATTTCGGCTCAGGTCATGATCTTGTGGTCTGTGGGTTTGAACCCTACATTGGGTTCTGTGCTCTCATAACAGCTCAGAGCCTAGAGCCTGCTTCAGGTTCTATGTCTTTCTCTCTCTCTCTGCCCCTCTCCCCCCTCTCAAAAAATAAACATTTAAAAACTTAAAAAACAAAACAAAACACACGTTGTTAGAAAGGCTAAAATCCAGAACACTGACAACAGCAAATGTTGGTGACAATGTGGAGCCACAGGAACTCTCACTCACTGCTGGTGGGAATGCAAAGTGGTGCAGCCCCTTTGGAGGATGGCTTGACAGTCTCTTAGAAAACTAAACATACTCCTCCCCTATGACCAAGCACTCATACTTCTTAGTATTTATTCAAAGGAGTTGAAACTTACGTCCACACAACACCTGCACTTGAATGCTTACAGCAGCTTTATTCATAACAGCCAACACTTGGAGGTAACCAAGGCGCCCTACAGTACATGTGGGAGGATAAGTGAACTCTGGTCCATCCAGGAAAGGAAGGGGCCAGTATTATTTAGCACTAAAAATAAAGGGGCCATCAAGCCATGAAAAGACACAGAGGAACCCTGAATACATGTCAGTAAGTGAAAAAAAACACTGATATCTGAAAAGGATACATAATGAAAAAGTTCATCTCTATGACCTTCTGGAAAAGGCAAACTGTGGAGACGGGGAAAAAGATCGGTGGTTGCCAACAGTGGAGGGGCGGGGGAATGGGGGTGGATAACAGGCAGAGCACAGAAGATTTTCAGAACGGTGAAAATGGTCTGTATGGTACCATAATGGTTCGCATTTGCATTTATCCATTTTTCCAAACCCACAGAACATACGATGCCAAGAGTGAACCTTAACCCAAGCTATGAACTTTGGGTGACAATGATGTATCGAAATGGGTTCACCAATTGTAACAAATGAGCCTCTCCATTTGTTGGTGAGGAATGTAGATAATCGGGGAAGGATTTATGGGAATCCCTGTACTCTGCTCGATTTTGTTATAAACCTGAAGTTCTTCTAAAAAACGGCCTATTAAAAAAGGATGTGAGAATAAAAATTACATTTACATAATTTACATAGTTGCCTTATCATGCATCATGTCTTTCTCAGACACTCAACAAATTTTAAATGGCTTTGCCTTTAAAACCTAGCATACACTTGGCATTTCAAGCACAGCACCCAGAGAACTTACAAAGCAAAACAAAACACCAATGCCTGTTCTCCATCCAAGACTAGTTAACTCAAAATCCCTGAGAGTCAGACCTAGACATCAGCAGTTTTTAAAACTCCCTACACGATTGTCATGTGTACCCAGAGTACAGAACCATTGGCATAATGAAAAGCACGTAGGACGTAACTGGAGAGGACCGACTTAAACTCTAACTCTGCAAACCAGTAGCTTTTATTCCATTGGTAAGGCCGTGTGTGCCCTCCCTTTTCAGAGCTGTCAGGGGATTGAAAGATAAGCTGTTTGAAACATTTGGCACATAGTAGATACTTTACATTGTCAAGCGTTATTAATGACAACCTCTAAGCTATGTGCAAAGTAAGCAGGGTGTTAAACTCCCAGGAAATTGTTATCATCGGTAACCCTAAACATCTAGTGTTACTGCCATCTACGGGGTTAAGCTCATTTGAGGAAATAATTTTATTTGGGATTGAACGTAAAAACCTACCGATGTATCTTATTTTTCTAGCTTCCTGTACTATTTCTTAATCACAATAAAACAGTACTTTATGAAAGAAAAACTAAGAAATCTTACTATTGTCTCATTGACTGTCAGGAAAAGCAATAATTATTTGAAAGGTAAAAATAAATAAATGAAAATGATCACAAGGAGTTTAAGAAGTATGGAGGAAAGTCAACTATGTTCTGTAAACATTTATGCATTTGTAGCTAAGAGTTTAAATAATTTTAACATGACCAAAAATACTGTACTGTGCACAAAAAGAGATCAATAGACTTATAGTTGAAGATCATGTGAAAACGTTTTTCAAATATCTTCAGAGCAAAAATATTGTATGTGTAGAAATATTATACAACTTTCCATTTTCAGAAATTAGGTAGTTAGATTTTTTCCGATTTGAGGCTAGTTTTAATATAGCTGCAATGAAAGTTTTGGTGTAAATTGTGTGTGTGTGTATGTGTGTGTGTGTGTGTGTGTGTGTGTGTGTGTGTGTGCATGAACTTTGGCTCTGTTTATGGAGTTAATTACTATTTTTTAAGACTACAGCTCTAGAATGGGCCCAAACTTTTGACCCTCTTAAGAATATTATTATATACCATAAGTCGCTTTCCAGAAAACTTACTGCACTTTGCAAATCAGTGACTCATTTATTGAGCACCGACATATTACGTAGAGTGGGTGATCCACAAAGAAGCCGGGCACTGCCTTTAACGTGAAGGGATTGACAAAGAGGTAGGGGGTGAATCGGAAACTCACGCTGACTTCTGCCTTCGTGTTTTGTGCGGAGACCCACTGCTAGACGGCGCGTCTCTACACCCTCTCGAATTCACCTACCCACGTGGAAAGAGACAGCCTAGTGAAGGTTTGCTGTAAACATCAGAGGGTCTAGATCCTGATGGAACCAACGTGATTCTCTGCAAGCAACTTTTCAGAATCAGAGCTGACTTTACATACATGGTTGGGATATTTTACGCGGAATAAATTGGTTTTAATCTTAGCACAGTGCCGGAGACCAAGCCCTCACGTGCTGTGGAGAGGGTCTCTGCACACTTGGGAATCTGGAGTTCTCCTGACGGTGAATCTTGCTCCTAATTAAATCTGCCAAGACATGTGAAGGCACTTGACACTCACGTGTACATGCAGGAGGCTTCCCCGTGTTATTCCACAGTCCATCTTCCCGACATACGGCCGCTGCTTGTTGGCCTGCTTCCAGCTTAAAGCCCTCATTACATTCATAGATCACTTTACTATCCAGCGTGAACTCGTTGCCCGTAAAGGAACCATTTCCCGGGGACTCGGGGATTCCACAGGACACAGCTGGAAAGAAATGGCACAAATGGGGGGTTATTCTTACAAGACTTTGTGATACTTTCTCTGTTTCTATTTTTATCTCTAGCACATATACAAATGGTAAGATATTTATATTTCTTTTCGTTACGTTTATTTATTTTTGAGAGACAGAGACAGAGCATGAGCAGAGGAGGGGTAGAGAGGGAGGGAGACACAGAATCCAAAGCAGGATCCAGGATCCAGGCTCTGTCAGCACAGAGCACAACGTGGGGCTCCAACTCACAAACTGCGAGATCATGACCCGAGCAGAAGTCGGACGCTCAACCGACTGAGCCACCCAGGTGCCCCTGAACTCTGTCATACAGTTTAAACACACTGAGATGTTTTCACCACATGGCCGGGCTCAGGATTGCCCAGTATCGTGCTTTTTACATCATTTAATATCGGAAAGAAAGGATAAAACGGTATCTTTCCCATCACAAAGCTGACCAACGCATTGGTGCTGAGATTTCACAGGGATCAGAGCTGATCCCCAGTCTGGCCTCCCTCACCCCCCACGACCGGGTTTTCCTCGAAGCGCCACCAAGTTCTGACGAGAGGCAAATCACTTAGCCGACATCCTCAGTGCGTCCACAGCCCCAGTATCTGTTATCTTATGAATTACCTGTCAGAACACAGGGCCTGAGGAACCGAAATACTGGAGGAGAAAGGGAGATCGCCTTGAGCAGAACAGCTCAGTCCTCCAGGCGCTAAGCAGGCCCGCTTTCGGTGTGAGGCCTGCACGAAGGCAGTACGAAGGAGGCAGGCATTTTTTTTCTAATGTTTCTTTATTTTTGAGAGAGACAGAGACAGAGAGAGAGGGAGACCCAGAATGCGAAGCAGGCTCCAGGCTCTGAGCTGTCAGCACAGAGCCTGACGCGGGGCCCGAACCCACGAACCGTGAGATAGTGACCTGAGCCCAAGTCGGACACTTAACCGACTGAACCATCCAGGCGCCCAAGGAACAGACATTTTTTTTTTCAATATATGAAATTTATTGTCAAATTGGTTTCCATACAACACCCAGTGCTCATCCCAAAAGCTGCCCTCCCCAATACCCATCACCCACCCTCCCCTCCCTCCCACCCCCCATCAACCCTCAGTTTGTTCTCAGTTTTTAAGAGTCTCGCATGCTTTGGCTCTCTCCCACTGTAACCTCTTTTTTTTTTTTTTTTTCCCTTCCCCTCCCCCATGGGTTTCTGTCAAGTTTCTCAGGATCCACATAAGAGTGAAAACATATGGTATCTGTCTTTCTCTGTATGGCTTATTTCACTTAGCATCACACTCTCCAGAGGAACAGACATTTTTTAACAAACAAGAAAGATGAAGAGAGTGTTTAGTATAAATATTTCCTTCTTCAATTTACTAGCTCTGATCCAGACTCATCTACTACGAGACAGAAACCAAACAAACAGACAAAAAACACCTCTCATGTGAAATGACTGTAAGTTACAACAAGGGCACAAAGTAGGAAAGCAGGACAGAGGGATCAACAGTAATTCCCAAGGATCTACACCCAATTCGGGTGCATTTGTCAAAGAAACGTTTTGCAGTAACTACAGTAACGGCCTTCCTTTACTCGGTCAATATTTAAGGTATTATTCACCTCATGGGTTTTAAATTGGGGTAGTTTAAAAATTTTCCCACATTGATTCTAATGAGAAACTATGTGTAGCATGTTAGAGCTGGAAAGACAGACTGAAAGAGCTTACATAAACTTAATCAATTTACAGATAAGGAAAACTGAGGGTCAGAAAGGTAAAAGGACTTGCCTAGGCTATCAGAGAGACTGTGTGAAACCTCAGGCCACAGAGCAGACTGGTGACACCCAGCTGAGACCACCTTCTGTTCCACGAGAGCCCCAGGGAGGAGCACACTGAGCTACACTGGTTCTGAGTCTTTTCGTTGTCATTTTGTTCTTTTCTCCTTAGCACAATTCATGAATAAATGTGATGGAAAATGGTCAGAGAAGGTAACACATTTTTTAATGTAGTGGGTGATAAAAATCAAATTTCTGGGAAGTCCAAGCACTCAAATTTCTCTTGTGCTTAATTTTATAATCTGCTATTTCAACATCTATATGAAAAATACATATGAAAAAAATTACATGATATACATATGAAGCATACTATAGTAAAGATTTGCAGTAGCCAGGGGATAAAAAAATCTTAGACATCTAGACATCATTTTTTTTTCACAGGGCAAACTTTATTTTTTTTTAATTTTTTATATTAAATATAATTTATTGTCAAATTGGTTTCCATACAACACCCAGTGCGCATCCCAACAGGTGCCCTCCTCAATGGCCATCACCCAGCCTCCCCTCCCTCCCACCCCCCATCAACCCCAGTTTGTTCTCAGTATTTAAGAGTCTCTTATGGTTTGCCTCCCTCCCTCTCTGTTTGTAACTCCCCCCCCACCCCTCCTCCCTGGTCTTCTAAGTTTCTCAGGACCCACATAAGAGTGAAAACATATGGTATCTGTCTCTCTCTGCCTGACTTATTTCACTTAGCATAACACCCTCCAGTTCCATCCATGTTGCTGCAAATGGCAGGATTTCATTCTTTCTCATTGCCAAGTAGTATTCCATTGTATATGTAAACCACAATTTCTTTATCCATTCATCAGTTGATGGACATTTAGGCTGTTTCCACAATTTGGCTATTGTTGAGAGTGCTGCTATAAACATTGGGGTACAAGTGCCCCTACGCATCAGCACTCCTGGATCCCTTGGGGAAATTCCTAGCAGTGCTACTGCTGGGTCATAGGGCACAGCCGCTCTGGAAAACAGTGTGGAGGTTCCTCTAAAAACATACAGACATCAGTTTGAATAAAGCATTCCAAATAACATCTGGCTTTCCAAAGCCATTGCTTTACTGAGGCAATGTATCCATCATTTGCAAAATGTTCATCTTAATTTCTTGAAGGCAGTGAATGCCCCTTGTGACTGGATCTCTCAGGGTCAACAATCTGTTTCCTCACCAACTCCTCTCAGGAGTCACTCAAGTAATCATTGGCTCATTCTCACAAACCTTAATGTCCCTGCCGCTAGCTGAAGCGTGCCCAGGGCCCAGTTCCCTTCTGCCTCTCATTTGGGATGAGAAGCCAATGAAATGACATTTCTGTGGCAGATGAAATGAGAAAGAGGACATTATACAAACACCCAAGAAACCCTACCTTCAAGGGATTCATACCCCGGAGGCCCAAACAGAAAAGGTATCTAACTGCTTATGTTAAATCTGGAAGCTTATTTCACGCGTGAACCCTGATACTGGGGACTTCAGAAGACCCACTTTTTGTCATCTGATCAGCCACTGGGAATCTGTTTTTGGCTTTGAGCTATCGGTTTTAACAACTCTGTAGAGTGTCTTAACAACAGGTTGTTTGGCGGGGCTTAAAATAAAGGTTGGCGATCAATCAGCCACGAAATTCTAACACTTCTGATTCGATGAAGGTTGGTGATATCCTTACAGACTCCCTTAAAAGGGAGACTCCTGCTAATGTCTAGTATGGGGTCATCTATTCATTCCTTCCAAAGTTTTTGCATGATTACTATGTGACAGATATTGTTTCGATCACTTTTTAAATGTTAAGGGGTAAAATGTATGTGACTTTCAAAATATTCATTATGTTCTTCCTTTTATTATAGCTGAAGGGAATACATGGTCTTAGTATTTTTTCATTGTACTAATATAGCATTGTATTTCCCAACAATCTAGGCAAATGAGCACATACTCAGCCCATAAATTTATCTTCTGTGGAAGAGCACGGACTTTAAAGTCAGACTTCTCGATCAGTTCTTGTCCCTGACATTTGTCAGCTGTATGATTTCAGGTCAGTGACAATGAATGTCTGGTTTGCAGGTTAATAATGGCCACCTCAAAGGCAATTGTAAGGAGTCAACGAAATAATGTACACAGAACAAAGAGCACTAGCTTGATACAACGTAAGTATTCAATACTCAAGAAAACATTGTGGGGCCCCTGGGTGGCTCAGCTACTTAAGGTCTGACTCCTGATCTCAGCTCAGGTCATGATCTCACATTCATGGGATTGAGCCTCACAGCACGCTCTGCACTGAGAGTGGGGAGCCTGCTTGGGATTCTCTCTCTCTCCCTCTCTCTCTGCCCCTCTTCCACTCTCTCTCTCCGTCTTCAAAATAAATTTTAAAAAGTGACTTGCAAAGACAGCAAAGAGGAAACCAGTAGTAAATCAGCTTCTTTCTACAACATGTCTCATGAGATATTTAACATTTTGGTTTCGAATATATAAATGGAAGGGCTGCTGTGCCCAGTGTCATATTCTTTTATGAATCAAACCCTTCATGGGATTTTTTTCTTTACGTATTTAACACCAAACAGTAGTTGTCATTCCTGTCTTTGGAGGTTTAACACCTCTCTGATTTTTTTTCCCATTTTCCATTTCCCATGATTGCTTGCTATAACTGACAATCCCTCCTTTTCTTTCTGCTACCCATCGAATTTCAACTCTGTACAATTTGTGTTTTTTTTTTTCTTTCTCCATTTTTTTTTTTCCCTTCAAAGAGTTCTTGGGCTGTGACTCTCACCTTAGGCTTGTGATCCTCATATCTTGACAGCCACTCAGTCCACGTGGTGTTGTCACCTGCTGTCCAGCTGAACGATGCCCACATCTCAAGTTTAATGTGTATAAACCCTGAGGTTGTCATCAGACCTTCACCGTAGCTACTACCCTCATAGACTTTCTCCCAGTAAGTCCAGTTAGAATTTTCCATTCACTGCTTGTTTACATGGCCCGGATTTGTTTGGTGACCACGCGGTGCCTGCTTATTTGAATATTTGCTTCACACTCTACTGGTATCCTAGCTCACACACCCAGTATCTCAAAATAGAATGTCTACCTTTTCATTATCTGTTGGGAGGGTTGTGTGTGTGTGTGTGTGTTTTTTTTTTTTTTTTTTTTTTTTTTTACCTTTTCATTATCTGAACCCTACTTGTAAGGCTAAGGCAA